ATTGCCAGGCGTCCGTACTGCGCGATCGCGGTGCGAAGCCGCGATGACGTGGAGGTGGCTGCTGGGGACGGAGGCATGACAGGCAGTTGTCTATCTGAGACTAGTGAAAAGGGCCAAATGCGGTAAACTTGGAGTGTTTATGAAAAAAAAGCAGGGCTTGTGCGTGCACGGATTTATCACTGGCGCGCGTGGTGGTAAAGCGACGAATATCATGGAAGATATCGTCGATCGGCGCGACGCAAGGTTGAAAAGATGTCAAACGAGGGAGGGAAGCGCAGACGTAAGCCCATAAAGCAAGATTTAGAACAAATTGTGGAGGTGGACAATGTTGAAGAAGAAGACATGAAATGAGTTCTAAAGTGTCCAGCGAAGCAAAAATATCCGACAGCACTATGCACTGCCTGCGCCATCCTATAGAGGGGAAGGTACGTTTTCGCACACACTCACTCACGAGCCACTTGCTTCGGTCTGGTTTGGTATGGTTTGACTTGATTTGGGTGGTTTGGTTTGGTGTGTACTGGTCAGTGGTCACGGTAGCACACACTCCCAAACGAACTTGTTCCAAACCAACTCTATCCGTTGGATTGTCCACAGTCGCCGTCTGCCTACATTTCCGCCGTACAGGCATCGCGCTTCGTCTGGTGCACCACCAGCAGCCAACCACCGCTCGACACACCATGCACGTAATCCGCCCGCCCAACCTCCCACATCCCTGCGCCCTCCAGCTGATGCGCCAGCACCATGACTCCACGTTGACGAAAAAATCCGTCACGATTTCTGTCTTTGCCACGACCACATCTCCGTCAAGGCAGTAACAGCAAGCAGTGCCAGGGGGGTGTGTGTGTGGGGGGAGGACACGACAGAACAAGCACCCACAAACTTCAAGGCGAAGTCCAGACGGGAGCACTTAAAGCCGCGGTGCAGATATCCGGGCTCCAGTTCAAACTATTATAGTTTGAAAGCCGCGTAACCCAGTATACACAGGAAAGCGAGCAGGGAGAGGTTTCTGCCAGCGGGGGAAGGGCATGCGGAAAAGTCCTTCGCAGTATGATGTGTGTGGGGGGGAAACGCGGGAGGGCTCGGGGAAAAGCTCCGCTCAACGAGTTGAGGGGGAGCGCATGCAGCAAACTTGAAAATTCAAACTTGAACTCAAAACAACTCAAACTCGGCAAACTCTCACGCTTGAACTAGGTTCTTACTAACTTGAAGTGCGTTTTCCGAGCTACGCAGAGCCATTTCCGCTAAGATTTCTCGCGTTTCATGGTCTATTGATGTGCTCACGAATATCTGCGCAATTTCCTACCTCGTAAACACCTTTTTGTCGTATTCGAAGCGCATTGCGCTCGTTTTCCTCCGTTGCCGTCCTTATTCCTCTCCCGCCCCTCCACTCCTCACGTATCTGCGGTAGCAAAGGCGCAACGGTAGCGACAGGCAGGAATGGGTGCGACGGTGGCGAGCAGCGGGGCGACGATAGCGAGCGGTGCGGCGACGATAGCGAGCAGCGGGGCGACGATATGAGCAGCGGGGTGACGATAGCGAGCAGCAGGGCGACGATAGCGAGCACCAGGGCGACGATAGCGAGCTCCAGGGCGACGATAGCGAGCATCAAGGCGACGATAGCGACAACCAGGGCGACGATAGCGAGCTCCAGGGCGACGATAGCAAGCACCAGGGCGACGATAGCGAGCAGCGGGGCGAAGCATCTGTGCGACGGTGGCGAAGCATCTCGCGTCCCCCTCCATATTTATTCCTCTCCAATGCCTCCCCCTTTCCGATCCCTTGCCCGGTCCTCAGCATCAACTTCTCTTGGGCAGTGCCCTCCCTGTTTTCCTCTCCCTTTCCCCCTGTCCTCCTCTCCCTTTCCCCCTGTCCTCCTCTCCCTTTCCCCCTGTCCTCCTCTCCCTTTCCCCCTGTCCTCCTCTCCCTTTCCCCCTGTCCTCCTCTCCCTTTCCCCCTGTCCTCCTCTCCCTTTCCCCCTGTCCTCCTCTCCCTTTCCCCCTGTCCTCCTCTCCCTTTCCCCCTGTCCTCCTCTCTATTTCCCCCTGTCCTCCTCTCCCTTTCCCCCTGTCCTCCTCTCCCTTTCCCCCTGTCCTCCTCTCCCTTTCCCCCTGTCCTCCTCTCCCTTTCCCCCTGTCCTCCTCTCCCTTTCCCCTTGTCCTCCTCTCCCTTTCCCCCTGTCCTTCTCTCCCTTTCCCCCTGTCCTCTCCATTTCCCCCTGTCCTCCTCTCCATTTCCCCCTGTCCTTCTCTCCCTTTCCCCCTATCCTCCTCTCCCTTTCCCCCTGTCCTTCTCTCCCTTTCCCCCTGTCCTCTCCATTTCCCCCTGTCCTCCTCTCCATTTCCCCCTGTCCTTCTCTCCCTTTCCCCCTATCCTCCTCTCCCTTTCCCCCTGTCCTTCTCTCCCTTTCCCCCTGTCCTCCTCTCCCTTTCCCTCTGTCCTTCTCTCCCTTTCCCCCTGTCCTCCTCTCCATTTCCCCCTGTCCTCCTCTCCCTTTCCCCCTGTCCTCTCCCTTTCCCCCTGTCCTCCTCTCCATTTCCCTCTGTCCTCCTCTCCCTTTCCCCCTGTCCTCCTCTCCCTTTCCCCCTGTCCTCCTCTCCCTTTCCCCCTGTCCTCCTCTCCCTTTCCCCCTGTCCTCCTCTCCCTTTCCCCCTGTCCTCCTCTCCATTTCCCCCTGTCCTCCTCTCCATTCCCCCCTGTCATCCTCTCCCTTTCCCCCTGTCCTCCTCTCCCTTTCCCCCAGTCCTCCTCTCCATTTCCCCCTGTCCTTCTCTCCCTTTCCCCCTGTCCTTCTCTCCCTTTCCCCCTGTCCTTCCCTCCCACCTTTCCTCCCCCTCTCTCACATCCCTTCCCTTTCCTACTGTCCTCTCCCACCATTCACGCTTCTCTCAGCCATCCCTTTCCCCCCTCCCCTGCCCCTCGCCTTCCCCCACTACCGTCCCTTCCCTTTCCACTACGTTCTCTCGTTCAATTCAGCCAACAGTACCAGCTTTGCTTGGCCACTGAAGGCTGTCTATCATATCTCAGTTTCCATGCTCTCTTCAATTTCCCTACCTAACATTCTTCAATAATGCGCAACGTTTCCTTCCCCTTTTCCCCTCCCCCATCCTCCCTGTAAATGGACAGCTGCACCAATAGTGGATCGGAGTGTAAAAATCGGCTCTCCTTGGATTATGCCATGTTGTTTGCTTGCGATCCTTTGCATGATAAGGATTTCAATATGACATTCCAAGTCTTGCAGGTCTGTACAGTTGATGTTCTTTCTCCCCATTAGAAATAATACTCTTGCAAATGGATGGATAAATAAACCAAAATAAACCTTGTAAGTGAAATATGTATTTTGCAAAGTTTTTATGAAACATAAGGTTTATCGTTTTGCAATGTGGAGGTGTTATTGGCAGAACAATCAGCGAAAGGGAGTATGGGGGTGTTGATGTGGTCCCATTTCCCGTTTCGTGTGTGTTCCCCCCTTCCCTTTCCCCCACCCCTTCCCCCCCACTTTTCCTTTCGAGGTTCGCGACATTAGCCTTGGATGTTTTCATCGCAACACAACTTACACACTCGCTAGCCAATTGACTACCAGTACGGAACAAGACAAAACCCGGCTTGTCACTGTTCCTAAGATAGTTGCACCGCGGCTTTAATTCAGTCCTCTCTGAGCATGATGCGGCGCTCCCAAGGCCAGAAAGGAAGCGAGCATGCAGGGCATGCAGGCAGGCACGCAGGCACGCAGGCATGCAGGCACACAGGCAGACACGCAAGGTACAGAGGGCAAGGCAATCTGGGCTTCACCCAAACCGAACCTCGTTTCTCTCGCCAAGGCACCACCCACCACCAACCAAGCCACCCACCCACCATACACATGACCTCCCTGCGTATCACTCACCCATCCTACCTCTCATCTGCTATTGCTGCAGTGCAATCGCTGGGGCACCCAACCCAACCCAACCACCCACCTGGCCAGCCCCTCCCTCCCTCCACTCCGCCTGTACGCACACACCCATTCGTGCTGGTGGTCATTCTTGCTTTCACTGTTTCCTGTGCCTTGACAGCAACTTGGCACAGCCATGCCGACCTGTTTCCTGGCTTCTACATTCGCAACAGCTCCGCCACTTTTGGCTGCCTACCGATTTGAACGCAGCAGCCTCCGTTGCGCGAGTCGCGGTGCTAGGCGAAGCACGTTACGAGCCAAGCTTCTTCTGGCTTCTGTTCCAGGCTTTTTCTGGCTGCTGTGTTTCCAAGAACGAATCGCATCCACCTTTACTTGTTAGTAGGCAGGAAAGAACGGAGTGTTTCTGACGTTAGCGTATACACGTGGAGTTGCTTGATACGGTGACGTTCTTAGTATGGGGTTGAAGCTCGTAATGCTAAAAAAAAAAGGCGTCTAGTTACGAGTTAGCACAGCTTTCGTATCTGAAGGAGCTCTTCGATTCCTAGTTGAAGCTATCTGTATCGATATTTTTTTTCCGCATTTCGCGTCGTCAAGTCTTTTTAGCTTCGCCGTGTAGTTTGGAACCCTAAGAACTGTAGCTTAGTAACGTTTCAGGTTTGGGGTCCTCGCTTAGTACCGAGCAATGTTGCGTCATTTTTAGGTCTGGGACGTTTGTCTCGCCTCGTCCGACGTTGCGACGTTGCGCAATGTGGATAATGCAGGCTTCTTTTTAGATTAGCCGTTGACCTGTGACTGAAGTTTCGACGTCTTGCTAAATGTAGATGAATGCAGACATTATGAACGCTTATCCTTTCCGGTTGAGCCGTTAATCTGTTGACATTGAAGTCCCTCGATTGCGCGAGGAGTTAGTTGCCGACTTTTTTGCACATTGACGTGCTTGTTCTGACATCGACAACGGATGTGAGGGATTTGACCGAAGAAATGTGATTTTTGAGCTGTAAAAAAAAAACGAGTGTGCCGGATTTCGTGCTCATTCTGACATTGACCAACGAATGGTAGGGATTCGACAAAAGAAATGCATCTGACGGCGAAGCAGAAGCGACAGATTTTGATGCAGAGGGCCCAGGAGACTGGGTCCGCTGGATCGAGCGACGCAGGCCAAGGCAACATGGCGACGGCTACTCCTGCCAGCGCCAGCTCTCCTGCCGGTCCTGCCGGTCCGTCAGGATCGGTTCTCGGGCCGAGAAGCGCGCCGACGCAGAGCCAGGCTGAACTGAAGGAGCGACGACAGCACCTGACGCGGCTTCAGATGCAGCAGCAGCAGCAGCAGCAGCGCAAGGGGCAAGAGGGAGCGTCAAAGAACGGATCGGAGGAAGGGCAGAACGGCCGCCACGAGGGAGGAGAGGACGGAGCGGAGGGGAGGGACACACGGGATGGAACGGAGACAGGACATGACGGCGATTCCGGCGATCAGGGGATGGCGAAGGATGGCGAAAAGCAGCAGCACGAAAAGCAGGTTATTGGAAGTGCGCAAAGTCCCTTGGGGGGGAATGGTGGCGCTCAGGGGGAGAATGCGCAGGAAGGGAAGGGTGGCACGGAGGGTGACGCGCAGGAGGGGGAAGGTGGAGCGGATAACGAGAAGAATGAGGGGGGAAACGGGGAGGAGGGGGGTTCTGGAGGAGAGGCGCCGGCGGATGGCGACGGCATGCTTGATGCGGGCTCTCCCGGCCAGCAGGAGGAAGGGGAGCAGCAGCAGCAGCAGCAGCAGCAGCAGCAGCAGCAGAATGCAAGGACTGGAGGGTCTGGAGGAGGGTCAGCACCACAGGGTCTGGAGGGTCAGCAGGAGGCTCAGCAGCAGCAGCAGCAACAGCAACAATCGCAACCGCAGGAGCAGCAGCAGCAATCTCATCGCGTGTCACCTCAACAGCAGCAGCAGCCACAGCAACAGCAACAACAGCAGCAGCAGCAGCAGCAACAACAGCAACAGCAGCAACAGCAACAGCAGCAGCAACAGCAACAGCAGCAGCAACAGCAACAGCAACAGCAACAGCAACAGCAACAGCAACAGCAGCAGCAACAGCAACAGCTACAGCAGCAGCAACAGCAACAGCAGCAACAGCATCAGCAGCAGCAACAACCGCAGCTGCAGCCAGGGCAGCAACAGCAGCAGCAGCAGTCGGGACAGCAGCAGAGGCAGCTGAATCGGGAGCACGAGCAGGAGTTGCTGCAGCAGCAGATGCAGAAGCACCAGATGCTCTTCCATCAGCTTCAGGAGCGGCGGCAGCAGCTGCAGCAGCAGCTGATACAGCAGCAGCGGCAGCAGGGGTCGATGGATATGACGCAACGGCAGCAGCTGATTCAGACGCAGCAGCAGCAGCAACTCATTCAGCAGCAGATGCTGATTCTGAGGCAGCGGCAGCTGCAGCTGCAGCAGCAGCTACAGCAGAACCAGCAGCTACAGCAGAACCAGCAGCAACAGAATCAGCAGCAACAGCAGCAGCAGCAGCAGAGCGAGCATTTGGATTCACAGGGTGTGTCGAGTCAGGCGCCAAAGGAAGAGCCGAAGGAGCAGAGCGAGCAGGCGGGGAGAGAGGGTACTGCGCAGAACAGGGTCTCAGAGGCACAGGAGCAGCAGCAGCAGCAGCAGCAGCAGCAGCAGCAGCAACAACAACAACAACAACAACAACAACAACAACAACGCCAGCAACAGCAACAGCAACAGCAACAGCAGCAGCAGCAGCAGGCAGGCGCGCAGCGACCATCTGATGCTCTTTCCCAGCTGCTGCTGCGACAGCAGATGCTTCTACAGCAGCAGCAGCAGCAGAAGGCAGCGGGGCAGGGGCAAGGCGAGGATGGGGAGAGTGCGGGAAGCCAGCAGGTGATCCGCAGCCAGCAGCAAGTGCAGCAGCAGCAGCAGCAGCTCCTGCTCTTGCTGCAGCGGCAACAAAGCTTAAATAGCGCCAGGAACCAGCAGCAGCAGCAACAGCAGCAACAGCAGCAGCAGCAGCAGCAGCAGCAACAGCAACAGCAGCAGGATCAGGCGCAAGGGCACGGGCAGGCACAGAGCTCAGCAGGACAATCACAACAGGATCCGCAGCAGCAGCAGCAGCAGCAGTTGCAATTGCAGCAGTTGCAGCTGCAGCAGCTGCAGAAGCAGAAGCTGGAGCAGCTGTTGAGGCAGCGCCAGTCTCAGCTACAAGCACTGGCCCAGGCCCAGTCGCAGTCAAGAGCCCGCCCTGATCTCCCCGTGCTCGCTCTGGCAGAGGCTGCAGGCAGCGGCGTGCTTGCTGCTGGTAGAGCACCCAACGACCAGGATGCTGCCAGCGCCGGTCAATCAACGGCTCACGGTGCAGCTGAAGGTAGGGGTCCCGGCGCTGCTGCTGCTGCTGCTGTGGCTGCTGGTGTTCCTGGTGCTGATGGTATGGCCGGGGAAGGTACAACCAGGGAAGGTTTACGTGGCGCTGGTGCGGAGGCTATGGTAACAGATGAGGGGGTGGGAGAGCTCGCGCAAGCAGCAGGGATAGGCGGGGTAGGAGGGGTAGGAGGGCGAGGAGCAGCAGCAGGAGCAGTAGGAGTAGGAGTGGGGGCAGGAGGAGCAGGAGTAGGAGGAGGGCTACAAGGTGGTGTGGGCGGGGATAATGGGGGTGAGCGCGAGGGGGAAGGGGCGTGCAGTGCAGGGGGGGAGGAGGCAGCGGCAGCGGCAGCGGCAGCAGCAGCAGCAGCAGCAGCAGCGATGGGGATGCCGGTGGTGGTGGACGTGTCACCAGAGGATGGCGTGCTGCCTGCTGTGGGCGGGTCGGCCAACGTGGATGGGTGTGTGCGCAAGCTAATGGAGTTCATGTACCACCAGAGGCGCCGCCCTGCCGTAAGTGTGTGGGTGGGCGGGTAAACGGGTGGCTGTGTGTGTGCGTGGGTGTGTGTGTGTGTCTGCACGGGTGTGTGCGCAAGCTCATGGAATTCATGTACCACCAGCGCCGCCGCCCTGCTGTGAGTTTTGGCGTCAGTTCGTGGCACAGTATTTCGCCCCGAACGCCCGCAAGCGCCGGTACGTCGCCTCCTACGGCAGGAGCGCTTCCACAGACGGCCTTTGAGGCATCTGGAAACACCCTCTTTGCTTTGTCCTGCTCACATCCCTCCATTCCTCCCTCTCTATCTCCCTCCCTCCCTCCCTCCCTCCCTCCCTCCCTCACCTCCCTCCCTCCCTCCCTCCCTCCCTCCCTCCCTCCCTCCCTCCCTCCCTCCCTCCCTCCCTCCCTCCCTCCCTCACTCCCTCACCTCCCTTTCTCCCTCCCTCCCTCCCTCCCTCCCTCCCTCCCTCCCTCCCTCCCTCCCTCCCTCCCTCCCTCCCTCCCTCCCTCCCTCCCTCCCTCACCTCCCTCACCTCCCTCACCTCCCTCTCTCCCTCGCCTCCCTCAGGACAACAACGTGGAGTTCTGGCGGCAGTTCGTGTCACAGTATTTCGCCCCGAACGCCCGCAAGCGCTGGTGTGTTGCCTCCTACAGCAGGAGCGGCCGCCAGCCCGCCGGTGTCTTCCCTCAGGACATCTGGCCCTGCGACCTCTGTGGGGCTAGTCCTGGCCGCGGCTTTGGTGAGTGATGAGATCGGTGCAGGGGAGTGCAGGGGAGTCCAGGGGAGTGCAGGGAGTGTGGCGCTGCCAGCCCGCCGGCGTCTTCCCTCAGGACATCTGGCCCTGCAACGGTGCTAGCCCTGGCAGAGGCTTCGGTGAGTGATGGGGGGAAAGTGGGGGGACGTGTCCTCCTCACAATGCTTCTTCTGAATCCCCTGTTCTCTCCACGCATCCACACGCAGAGATGACCATGGAGGTGCTACCTACCGCGCCTGTTCAAGATCATGTTCGACAGTGGGGTGGGGTGCTGGAGGAGGAGGTGGAAACCTTTCACTACATTAACCCCTCCACTCGCCACCTCCCTCCTGCCTTTCCCTGCCGCATCCACCCACAGAGATGACTATGGAGGTGCTCCCGCGTCTCTTCAAGATGAAATACGACAGCGGCATGCTGGAGGAGGTGCTGTATGCGGCGAACCTCACCACTCACTCATACCCATTCGTCATACTGCACTGATTCCCTCTTCTTGCCACCTCCCCCATTGCCCTCACACAGAAATGACCATGGAGGTGCTCCCCCGTCTATTCAAGATAAAGTACGACAACGGGGTGCTGGAGGAGGTGCTGTATGGATACCCCCTCACTCATGCCCGTTCATCCCCCTTATGTTCCTGACTCGTTACACTGCACAGAGATGACAATGGAGGTGCTCCCCCGTCTATTCAAGATAAAGTACGACAACGGGGTGCTGGAGGAGGTGCTGTATGGATACCCCCTCACTCATGCCCGTTCATCCCCCTTATGTTCCTGACTCGTTACACTGCACAGAGATGACAATGGAGGTGCTCCCCCGTCTATTCAAGATAAAGTACGACAGCGGGGTGCTGGAGGAGGTGCTGTACGGACCTCACTCACACCTGTTGATCCCCTTCTTACCCACAGAAATGACCATGGGGGTTTTGCCGCGTCTATTCAAGATAAAGTACGACAGCGGCGTGCTGGAGGAGGTGCTGTACGCGGACCTACCGGCGGAGTACATGCTGCCAGGTGGCGCCGTGGTATTGGAGTACGACCACGCCATCCAGGAGAGCCTGTTTGAGCAGCTGAGGGTGGTGCGCAAGGGCAAGCTCAAGATCGTCTTCAACTCCGACCTCAAGGTGGGGGGAAGAGATGGGGCGAGTGGGGGAAAGGAGAGGGGGTGGAAGAGAGGGGGGGAGTGGGGGAAAGGAGAGGGGGTGGAAGAGAGGGGGGGAGTGGGGGAAAGGAGAGGGGGTGGAAGAGAGGGGGGGAGTGGGGGAAAGGAGAGGGGGTGGAAGAGAGGGGGGTGGAGATGGGTTTAAGAGCAGCAGCTGAGGGTGGTGCGCAAGGCCAAGCTCAAGATCGTCTTCAACTCCAACCTTACGGTGCCGAGGCTGTGTCTGTGTGTGAGTGTGTGTGGTGGGGGGTGCCAGCGCTCGCGAGTCTCTGTGTGTGCGTGTGTGTGTGCGTGCGTGTGTGTGTGTGTGTGTGTGTGTGTGTGCGTGCGTGCGTGTGTGTGTGTGTGTGTGTGCGTGCGTGTGTGCGTGCGTGCGTGCGTGCGTGCGTGCGTGCGTGCGTGCGTGCGTGCGTGCGTGCGTGCGTGCGTGCGTGCGTGCGTGCGTGCGTGCGTGCGTGCGTGCGCGCGCGTGCGTGCGTGTGCGTGCGTGCGTGCGTGCGTGCGTGCGGATCACCCTGTGGGAGTTGTGCACGCAGAACCACGAGGAGCTCGTGTTTTGAGTTGACTCAACCCACCCGTGCCATACCCTTTCCCCCATGCCCTCCCTCCCATGCCCCTCTGTCTACAGATCACGCTGTGGGAGTTCTGCACACAGAACCACGAGGAGCTCGTGCCACGACGCCTCGTGCTGCAGCAGGTGAGGCAAACCCCATCACGCATCCAACCACCCACCCCACCACGCACCAAGGAACGCTTTGAGGCACCGCTTCTCCCCAATGCATTAACTGGCATTTTCTCCTTCGTCTCTGCACCCCTTCTCGCTCCCCATCCCCCTTCGTCGTCTCCTTTGTCTCTGCAGCCCCCACCTCCTCTCTCATCCCCCTCCCCTCCCCATTCCATTCTCCCTCCTTCCGTCCTCCCTCTCTCCCCCACTCACACCCGTGTTTTTACCCCTTCCCTCACATTCTTCCACTCTCCCCTCCTCTCTCCTCCCTACCTGTGTGCCTATCCACCTCTCCATCTTGCCATCGCTGTGAGTGACAGGTGAGTCGCCTGGCGGATCTCGCATTCAAGTTTCAAAACCACCTCCCGGGATCCCTCACGCCCAACCAGCTCCACTCACACTGCGCCACGTAAGAAGCTCTCCCCAATATGCCTAAGCCACTTATCTCCTAATCTCCACCTCACTTATTACTCCCCCCCGTTCCGCCCCCCACCCTCTTTCCTCTCCTGTCCCCCCCATCTCTTTTGTAAATTCTCCACCTCTAGAACCATGTTTTTTTCCGTCCTTCTATGCTCTCTCTCGTTTTAGGATTTGCAAAAGTCTTGCACTCTTTTGGCCTATACCTGTCTCCTCTCCAACAACCCCTCCCTCCCTCCACCTCGTACACAGTTTCGCGACCATGTGTCCTGAGCTGACCCGCAAGCCCTTCCCCCCTTCCCCTCCCACACCTCTCCCACCCACGCCCCCCCCCTCTTTCTCCCTTCCTTCCTTCATCACCCTCCTCATTCGCGACCATGTTTGAGTAGGTGACTCACAGGCCTATCCGTTCCTCCTCTGCCTTGCCCTCTTTCTCCTTCCCCCTCCCCCACCCCCCCCAGTTTCGCCACCATGTGCCGCGAGTTGACTCACAAGCTGGACGCGCCAACAGTCAACGACCTGGGCTTCACCAAGTGCTACGTGCGCTGCCTGCAGGTATGCGGTGCTGTGCGGTGCTATGAGGTGTTGTAGGGTGCTCTCAGATGCTACAATCTTGCGCTGCCTGCATGTCAGTGGGTGTGCTGTGCATGTGCTGTGCGGTGTTATGAGGTGCTGTGAGGTGCTGCACTGTGGCATGTGGTGCTGTAGGTTGGTACTCAGCTGGACACCTCAACTGCCAACACCCAAAACCCTGAATTCCATGCTTAATAACTTTCATGGTTTACCTGTCACCACCACCCTGAATATCCGCCCTCACTTTCATGGCTGTCACAGCATAAGCGGATATTAAAGGTGGTGAGCACTGATCAGCTTGACTTTATTTCCGAGTCTATTGTGAAAACATGATTCATTACCCTTGGCAGGTATTCAAGTTATGTTTTTTTTTTTTTTTTTTTTACTGTCGCCCATGTGCAGATATCAGAGGTGGTGAACAGCATGAAGGATCTGGTGAACTACAGCCGAGAGCAGAACATCGGACCCATCGGTATGTCATTGTCGCCACCTGTGCTTTTGGTGAGTCGCCACCTGTCCCGTTGGTATGCCGCCACCTGTCCCGTTGGTATGCCGCCACCTGTACGGTTGTGAAGTGTGATGCCGACACTTACCCTCGCCTCCCTTGTATACTGCTCTCCTTTCCTCCCCCCACATGCTCCAGATACCACGTTTGTTTTTTGAGAATTCTCAAAAAACATACGCTCCCCCCACATGCTCCAGGTAGTCTCGCCACGTTTTCTCGCTACGCCATGCCCCTTCCCATGCCCCCTCCCTTCCCATCCACCCTTCTCATCCCCCTGTACCATTCCCCCTTTCCATCCCCAACCTGTGCGTCCCTTCCCATGTTCCCATCCCTTGCTCCCTTTTTTTCCCTACCCTCCTGGACCCACGACCCTGCAGAGAGCCTCAACTCCTTTCCGCGCCTCAAGCCCACGCCCCCCTCGCCATGCGCCTCCGACCACTCGATTCAGCAGCACGGCTTGCAGCAGCCGGGCTTGCTGCCTCTGCAGCAGATGCGCATGCAGGCACAGCAGCAGCAGCAACAGGGGCAACAGGGGCAGGGGGGGCAACAGGGAGGAGGGGAGCTCGGTCTGGTTACTGAGCATGTGGTGGGACAGCAGGGGCAGCAGCAGCAACAGCATTCTATTGGGCAGCAGCAGCAGCAGCAGCAGGAGGAGGGAGGGAGCCCGCAGCCGCAGGGCATGGGGCAGGCGAGGGAGGAGATGCGAGCCGTCACACCCACCTCACAGCTCATGGCCGAGGGTGGGGGGGGAGCAGGAGGAATGGGGGGAAGGGCAGGGGGTATGGGCGGAATGGGAGGGGGTCAGCAGCACCAGGGGATGCAGCATGGGGGGCAGGGGCAGGGGCAGGGGCAGGGGCAGGGGCAGGGTTTGCCGCCTCTGCCTCCCCCTCAGCAGAGAAACCTTCCCCCGAGGTCGCCCCTGCAACACCTGCAGCAGCAGCTACTGCAGCAGCAGCAACAACAGCAACAGCAACAGCAACAGCAGCAGCAACAGCAGCAGCAGCAGCAGCAGCAGCAGCAGCAGCAGCAGCAGCAGCAGCAGGAGGTGCAGAGTTCCTTATCCCCCGGCACAGGGGCAGCAGCAGGAGCGGGAGGGGGGGGGGGAGGAGGAGCACACGGCTTTGGAGCACAGAACATGGTAGCAGGCCAGGGGTCAGGGGCGGCAACAGTGGCAGCAGCAGCTGCCGCCCTGCGAATGAGCAGTGCCGCCCAGATCTCCGCCCTCATGGGGTCCCTGGGGGCAGGAGGGGGAGGGGCGGGGGGGAGGGGTGGGCCCTGGCGGTATGGGTGGTAGGGGAATGTCTAGAGCGGACAGCACAGGGGAGAGGGAGGCTGGGGGTATGCATGCTGACGGTGCTGCTGGGGGAGGGGCGGTAGGAGCTGCAGGGGTGGGAGGAATGGGAGGAGTGGGAGGAGTGGGGGAGGGAGGGGGAGCAGGTGGAGCAGGTGGGGGAGGGGGAGGAGGAGGGGGAGGGGGAGCAGCAGCAGCAGCTGGCAGCACAGCGGGCGCGCCTCTGGGTCCCCCAAGGCTGAGACACTCGTCTTCTGTCAACTCCCTGTCTGGATCCGTGGGAGGGGCTATGGCGGGCATGGGGGGAGGGATGGGCGCGGGCATGGGCGGAATGGGGGGCGCAGGGGGCGCAGGAGGCACAGGGGGAGGAGGGAGGGGGATGGGCGGGTTCACCCGCGCTGGCAGTGTAGGGGGGAGCATGGGCGGGAGTATGGGCGGGCCTGGGGGCAGGGTGATGGGATCAGCTGCTGCAGCTGCAGCAGCAGGGGGGTTTGGCATGGGGAGGAACCAAGAGCTCGAGGCTATGGGAGCTGAAAGTCTCGCTGCTGGTGCTGGTGGTGCTGGTGCGGGAATGGATGGGGCAGCAGCAGCTGGGCAGGGGGCTGTGGGCGAGTTTGCAGCACTCATGTCTCCTCCCGTGTCTCACCAGGAAGCTTCCTGGCAGCAGGCCGTTGCTGCGTCTGCAGCAGCAGCAGGGGGGGGTGGAGGTGGGGACGGTGGCCCTGGTGGGGGGGGAATGGGAGCAGGGGGGAGGACGAATGGGGGGGTGATGGCGAGAGCAGGGAGCTATGGGGCAGGCGGGGCTGCATCTTCAATGAGTGGCGGGGGCGGTGGCGGTGGTGGTGCTGGTATGGGTGGTGGAGGGGGAGTGGCAGGAGGAGCAGGAGTAGGAGGAGGGGGGATGACTTTGAGTGGGCTCCAGAGCATGCTGCAGCAGAGTGCAGGTGCTGGGGGCGTGGGTGGGGGTGGAGGCATGGCAAATAGAGTTGCCACGCTGATGGCTCGACAGGCTCAGATCAAAGCCCTTGCTAATCTTCGCCAGCAGCAGTCGCAGCAACAACTGCAGAAGCAACAACAGCAGCAGCAGCAACAGCAACAGCTGCAACACCAGCAGCAGCAGCAACAGCAACAGCTGCAACACCAGCAGCAGCAGCTGCAACAGCTGCAGCAGCAGCAGCACCAGCAGTCAGTGTCGCAGGGAAACCCGATGGAAAGAGCGGCGGCAGCAGCAGCTGCTGCTGCGCAGGGGGTTAGTGGCAACAGCGGCAGTGTGTGCGGTGGGGGGGGGGGAAGGGGGAGGTGCTGGTGGTGCCGCTGGCGGTGGTGGCAGTGTGAATTTTGGAGGGATGGGGAACGCAGCAGCAGTAGCAGCAGCTGCAGCAGCAAGCAGATCAGCCGCTGCAGCGGCAGCAGGAGGGGGAGGTGGAGTGGGGGCAGGGATGGGGGGAGGAGCAGCAGCATCGCAAGCGGTAGCAGCGGCAGCGGCAGGGAACGTGGCAGTGAGTCTGCTGCAGCAGGCAGGGAAGCTGGAAGGGCTGCGAGGGGCAGAGGCACAGAGTGCAGTGCAGCAGCTGATGCAGCAGGTCATGCTCAACCGCGCTGCTGCTCAGGCCGCCGCTGCTGCCTCCGCTTCTGCTGCCGCTGGTGGTGCTGCTGCTGGGGGGGCTGGTCTTGCCGGTGCTGGCACTGCTGCTAGCATGGCAGCAGCGGCGGCGGCGGCAGGGATGCTGAGAGAAGGAGCGGCGGAAGGGGGGATGGGAGGAGGCATGGGCTCGCATGGGGGTGTGGGGGCAGGACTAGGAGGTCTGGGAGGGGGGGTGGGTGGAGCAGGGGGAGGTGGGCCTGGGGGAGGTGTATCTGCGATGGGTCCTGCTGGGAGCAGAGTGGCTGCCATGGCTGCTCGGCTCAGAAGCATGGGGGTTACCAACCTGGCTGGGTTGGGAATGGTGGGAAGCGGTGCTGGTGTTGGTGCTGGCGGTGCTGCTGGTGTGGGGGGTGTGGGAGGAGCAGGGGTAATGGGCGGGGGGGATATGCTGCCTGACGGGATGGGAGGAGCAGCAGGGGGTATGGTTCGGGCTGCTGGTAACTTTGCAGGTCTGGCTTCTGCTGCAGGCTTGGCCGGACCTTCGGGCGGAGGCGTGGGAGGAGGTTTGGGAGGGACGAGAGGGGCGGCGTTGGCTGAGCGATTGGCGAGTCTAGGAGCCAACATTGCCGACCTGGGGAGGTTTGAGAATGTGATGGATGGCGGCGCTGGTGGTGGTGTTGGTGGTGTTGCAGGTTTGATGGATTCAGGTGTGTCTATGCCTAATTCTGCTCTCATCGGTGGGGGTGGGGGTATGGGTGATGTTGGCGCTGGTGGGTTCAGAGGTGGATTGGGAGCCGCAGGTATGGTTGGCGGGAATGTAGGCTTGGTGGGAGGCTTGGGGTCGCTCGACCGGCTTGCAGCGGCAGGTTTGGTTGGTGGAGGTGCGGGGAATCTAGGTATGGGAGCAGCAGGGGTGGGCGGTTCTGCTGCTGTGGCAGCAGGAGCACTGCAAGCAGGGCTGCAGATGCAAGAGCAAGTGGGAATGGGGCATGAGGGGATGATGGGGGGTGGAGGGGGCGGAGGTGTAGGGGGAGGTTTCAGCAACCTTGGGAATCTACAGTTCAACTGGAACAGATGAGGATTTGTGCAGATATTTGCAGCTCAGCTGTAAAGAAAAATTGGGAGTCCTTGCCTGGGTTACTGTAACAAACACAACACAAAGCGAAATAGATTTGTGTTGGTTCAGGTTAGGGTTTGAAACGGTCAACGAAGGATGTGCATTGTTGTAATTGACCTATAGAAAAGGAATTTGTTGTTGTCCACCTCCCTCCCGCATGAGCAGGGTAGTCATGGGTTTAGGATACATGAGCATGAGTGCCACCTGTAGCATTCTGTAGCTTTGACAGTGTACTGTATGGATTATATGTAATTCATCAATCTACTTGTTTAATATTGTCCAAGAATATTCAGTGTCAACTTACCGTATAACACACAAACTAGGGCAGCATGTGTCGAGGATCGTGTATTCCCTTCTCACTTCGTTTCATCCGGCAGTACGGGATGACGGCGTGAAACGCCGGCTGCTGGAATTGTCTGGCCACCAAGTTTGTGAGTACGGTTGACTCGTTTCTTCTTGGCGTTGACACGGCAGTTCGGTTGTCCATGTGGCTGCAGCTTCTTGGTCAGACACCCCTCTTGACTGCTTGCCGAGTCATATCGAAATTTGAGCACATTTGCAATGTGCGACGCGCAGAATTGGCGACGCGACGAGGGTACAAAATTCTGCAGCTGGCTTGCAGCAATTCATTCCAATTTCGACACTCGGAGAAAGTCAACAGCTGAGAGTGCTTTTCAAGTGCACACACAAAATTCCTCCACAACGCACGCCATCTCGACTTAATTTTAATTGCTACGAAGGTTTTTTTGTCACATTAGCGGAAACGGAGCCATGGAGCACTCATTTCCGCCCCCGCATAACAGGCTCCGTCAGCGTAACCTGAGCGCGGCGCTTCTCCTCCTCTCATTCGTCCTGCTTTCATCTCTCCACGCCGCATTGGCCCTTCGCTTCTCCGCGGGACTCCGCGTGGACAAAGTGTGCGGGAACTTGCGCGGATGGGTGCACTGCGGGCGGTCGCTCTGTAAGAAGCACAAACACGGCGGCGGAAAGGGCGGAAACGGGAATGGAGGAAAAGGGGGCGCCATCGCGAAAAAGGGAAGTTGCGATTTCTGGCATCCGAAGGTTTTTCTGCGAAAAGTTTGCGGAAAAGTTGCGCGTAGTATCCAAAAAACAACGACCCGAAATCGCAACTTTCCGTACACAATCTGCGAAAGCGAAGACCAGCGCCAAAAACCCACTCCAAAGTGACGTGAAAGCGCCCTAGGTTTCGCACGGTCAAGAAAGATTCCGAAAGGTGATGCGGAGTGGCATTGTAAAAGTGTGCAGATGTGCGAAGATCACGAAAGTGTAGACAGTCACGAAGGCAAGAGAAGTTGAAAATGTGGATACAACACTTCCGTGTTTTTCCCAAAACTGACCCTGAGTGACGTGTGAAGCCAAACAATCTTTTACAACCAATCACGACCCTTCGTTATCTACACGTCATCACACCAACACATCACAACCAAACCCTACCATCGCGAATATGCCCACCCCATACTTCTACCCCGTACACTTGGCAGACTTCTGTGCTGCTATTGGTCAGCCCATTTTCACATCGAACGCACAGCAAGCTCACGATACTTACTGTGTCTCTTCACTCTAGTTCCTTAGTCTTGCTCTATTCTGAATACACCAGCCTCGACTCTTCCGCTTTTGCCTGCTATTCCCCTCCGTTAGAGCACCTGTCTGAGACCGTCATTAGCGGGACCACGGACCCTATCTAAGTTAGATAAGGGTTTACGGTAACCTCACGTTGACAAACTTAGGCGCTAAAGTTAACCATGCTCTCGCTCGCTTTGACATCCTCTTTTCCATCTGTCTTCCGCCCCTGCCTTTTTTTTTTCCCCAATTGCGCCAACAGGTAGTGACGGAAAATCTCCATCTACCAGCCTAGGGACAACGGATAATCATGGCATCAGATAGATCGCGTGGCGCATCTTCCGCTACGGCTTTGGATGTCGTCCTTGCGCCGCGCCATCAGCGTCGGCTTCATGGTGAGTGGCGCCATCACCATCGCACAGCAGCAGCTGCGCGGGCTGCTGTTAGAATAGTGAGCGAATGAATGAAACAGAGAAGGGTGGTTTCACTAGCAGGCAGTTGAGTACATATAGCACACCCTAAATTGGGCTGTACTCGCTATTGAGTACCCCACTGCAGGCTAGACAAACATAACATTCTGACACACCCCCATAGTCAAAGTGGGGTATGATCAGCACAACAAGCAAAGCAAAACAAGCTCAGGGTGGATCACGACGTCACCACACATTCTGAGCACAAGTACAAGAAGCAGCAGTTTATAGTTCACAAATATAAGCAAAGATAGAGGCTATCACAGAGGGCAAGTGAGGAGGAGGAGGGACTGTGAGAGGAGAGGAGATAGGAGACGACAGGTGAAGCTGCAGAAACACGGGCAACAGGAGCGGCGCGCACTGTGGCTACCGGAGATTGTAGCCTCCGGACTGCTGGAGTAACTGGCTCCGCGGCTAACTCTGAGCGGCAAGAGCAACGGACTCACGGGCGACTGGCGCAGCAGGCTCGCTGGGCTACCGGAGATTGTAGCCTCCGGACTACTGGCGCTGCTGGCGACACGACGGCTGCCTCCGCCCAACCTCCCTCTAACTGTCTCACCCCCCTTTTTACACACACCCTGCTGCACCTCTAACACTTCTCACACGCCACCCCTTAGTACTACTCCGACAGCTCCCACACACCCACCCCCCTCAGCGGCAGCTGCAGCAGTGGGAGACGGAGGAGGAGGAGGAGCAGGGAAGGCCACACACACCAGTCACCCCCATACGCGCCACCCCCAAACCCTAACACAGGCAGCACGGGGCGGCGGACGGGTTGCAGGAGGGGTAGCGCGCCCCCCCCCCCCCCCCCCCCCCCCCCCCCCCCGAGGGCGCCTTGACGAGCGACAGGGGTGGGGGTCGCGCGTGTCAGAATCCCAACCACTAGACCATTGGGATAAAAGGGCTTGTTAAGTAGCGGGTCAGTGCGCCCATAACCCCCCAGGACAACGAGCCTGTAACCCCTCCCTAGGATCAATCGGGGATCACCAGTGGACCTCTGACACCCCCCCGCACTGGGATGCCCGAAGTGCACACACTGGGATTCGAACCCGAGACCTTCGCTCTGATACCATGTCAGAATCCCAACCACTAGACCATTGGGATAAAAGGGCTTGTTAAGTAGCGGGTCAGTGCGCCCATAACCCCCCAGGCCAACATGCCTGTAACCCTTCCCTAGGATCAATCGGGGATCACCGGTGGACCTCTGACACCGCGGGCCCCCACGAGGGCGCCACGACGGGCGGCAGGAAAGGGGCCGTGCGTCGGCCCCCGAGGGCGCCACGACGGGCGACTGGAGGGGGGGGGGGGGGGGGAGGGGGGGCGCGCGCAGCACCTCTACTACTGCGCTGCCCTTAGCCTACTGCTCGTGCTGCTAGTCTACTGCTGTCATGGCTACCCCCAGTGTCCTCGCTTTTGACGCTGAGGGTCGGGCCATTGACTTTGACGTCTGGGTAGATGACCTGCAGCTTTTCCTACAGTGCGATAGGGCAGACGGTCTCTCCCTCTTTGACCTCACTTCTGGTGCCTCTCCTGCCCCCGCTGCTGATGCTGACGCCACTGTTCGCTCACAGTGGGCCACACGCGATGCTGCTGCACGTCTTGCTGTGCGTCGCCACTTGCCTACCTCTGAGCGTGCGCACTTCAGCCAGTACAAGAGTGCTAAGACCTTGTACGACGCTGTAGTTGCACGCTACTCTTCCCCTGCCACTGCTGCACTTAGCCGCCTCATCCTGCCGTACCTCTTCCCTGACCTCGCAGCTTTTCCCACAGTTGCTGACCTCATTACGCACCTCCGCACTAGTGACATTCACTACCGCGCTGCCCTTCCCGCTGAGTTCTGCGCCAAGAACCCCCCCCCTATGTACATCACCCTCTACTACATAGTCACCCGCCTCCCTGACACCCTTCGCCCGGTCAGGGACCACTTTCTCTCTGTTTGCCCCACCACCCTCACCGTTGACCTCCTCGAGGAGCGCCTCCTAGCAGCAGAGAAGAGCATAGTCGCTGTAGGAGCCTCTCGTGGTGACCCGCGCGCCCCTGTCTTTGAGGGGTGCTCCCCCTCTCCTCTCTTGCCCTCTGTTGCCTCTGCTGCTGCGGCCGACCTCGTTGGTCTTGAGTCGGTCGGTGCGGCGTCTACCCCTAGCGGGAAACGCCGCCCTGGCAAGGGCAAGGGGGGCAGGGGCGCTGGAGGAGCTAGCGGGGGCGGTGGAGGCAGCGGTGGAGGCGGCGGAGGGGGTGGGGGTGGCGGTGGGGGTGGTGGCGGGGGTGGAGGTGTCGGTGGCGGCAGTGGAGGCGGAGGCGGAGGCGGCGGTGGCGGTGGGAGCGGAGGTGGCGGAGGTGGCGGCGGTGGAGGAGGCGGCGGCGGAGGAGGTGGAGCTGGTCGGGGTGGCGCTGCGCAGAGGGTTGGCTCCGGTGGTGGTCAGCGCCAGCAGCAGCAGCAGCAGCAGCAGCAGCAGCAGCAGCAGCAGCAGCGCACTCGGGACATCCCCCCCCCTCAGCAGCTCCGTGAGTGGTACGCTGCACGCCAGCGGGGTTGGGGTACTGGTCCGTGCACCTACGTCCTACGCACCGGCGACCGCGCGGGTGAGCAGTGCGGGGGTGCGCACTCCACCCAGCGCTGCTTTGGCCGCCTGACGGACGCTTGGCGTCACCAGTTCCCTGAGGCCACTGAGATCCCTCGCTGGGGCGAGCTGTCTAGGGCGGGAGTAGCTATCTTTGACCTTGACTTTGATGCTATTCTTGCTGCCATGTTTGCTGTGACTATTAGTGATGAGGGTGACTGTTACCGGTGTTTTCCGCCCGACCCGGGCATTGAGACTGCTGCTCTAGGTACTGGTGAGGCTGCTGCTCTAGGTGCTAGCGAGGCTGCTGCTCTAGGTGCTAGTGCGTCTGCTTCCTCAGGTGCTGGTG